AAAAAGGCCAGGCACGGTGGTTCACACCTACTGTAATCCCAGCACTTTGGGAGGCCGAGGCAGGCGATAGTTTGAAGTCAGGAGTTCAAGACCAGCCTAGCCAACATGGTGAAACCTCACTCCCCATCCCTACTAAAAATATAAAAATTAGCCAGGCATGGTGGCAAGCGCCTGCAATCCCAGCTACCCAGGAGGCTGAGGCAGGAGAATGGCTTAAACCTGGGAGGCAGAGGCTGCAGTGAGCCGAGATTGTGCCACTGTACTCCAGCCTGGGGGACAGAGCAAAACCTTCATCTCAAAAAATAAATAAATAAAAGAAATAGAGTCTTACTATTTTGTCCAAGCTGAGGGAGTCTTTCACCTCAGCGTCTGGAGTAGCTGGATCTAGAGGCTTGCAACACTGTACCCAGCTCCAGAACTGCATTTTTTTGAGGGAATATTAAATCAGTATGAAGAAAGAAAAGAAAATCACTGGACATGAAAACCGCCTTTAAGTTCTTCTGAGATTGCTGAGAGCATTCAGCTTGGGTTAGAGGAGTGGTTTCCAGGTTGAGAAAAACAAGGAGACATGGGTCCTTGGTAGAAATCTTTGGGAGCTTTTATTTCAATGTGGATTCAGAAGCCTGTTATTATCTGTGATAGCTCACACCTATAATTGCAGCACTTTGAGAGGCCAAGGCGGGAAGATCACTTGAGCCCAGGAGTTCGAGTCCAGCCTGTGCAACATATTGAGACCCTGCCTCTACAAAAAATAAAGAAAATTAACTGGGTGTGGTGGCCCACACTTGTACTCTCAGCTACTCTGGTGTGTGAGGTAGGAGGATCACTTGACCCCAGGAGGTCAAGCCTGCAGTGAGTGGTGATGGTGCCACTGCACTCCAGCCTGGGCAGCAGAGCAAGACCCTGTCTCAAAAAAAAAAGAAACCTGGGACTGTCATCCAGTTGTCTAAGTATCAATCCCTTAGCTTGGAATTTCAGGCTTGTTTTGTTTGTTTGTTTGAGACTGAGTCTCATTTTTGTCGCTCAGGCTGGAGTGCAGTGGTATGATCTCAGCTCACTGCAACCTCCACCTCCTGGGTTCACGCAATTTTCATGCCTCAGTCTCCTGAGTGGCTGCAATTACAGGCGCATGCCATGTAATACCACATGCTTTGTAATACCACGCCTGGCAAATTTTTGTATTTTTAATAGAGATGGGGTTTCACTATGTTTGCCATGCTGGTCTTAAACTCCTTACCTCAGGCGATCCACCCACCTTGGCCTCCCAAAGTGCTGGGAGTACAGGTGTAAGCCACTGCACCCAGACTTCAGGGTTCATAATATGCCCACAACCTGCTTTTCCCATGGAGTCTTCCATTTTTCTTTTCTTTTTTTTTTCTTTTTTTTTTTTTTTTTTTTTTCTTTTTTTTTTTTTTGAATTAGAGTTTCTCTCTTGTTGCCCAGGCTGGAGTGCAATGGTGCGATCTTGGCTTACCACAACCTCCGCCTCCTGGGTTCAAGCAATTCTCCTGCCTCAGCCTCCTGAGTAGCTAGGATTACAGGTATGTGCCACCACGCCTGACTAATTTTGTATTTTTAGTAGAGACAAGGTTTCTCCATGTTGGTCAGGCTGGTCTTGAACTCCCGACCTCAGGTGATCTGCCTGCCTCGGCCTCCCAAAGTGCTGGGATTATAGGCATGAGCCACCGCGCCCGGCCAGAATCTCCCATTATTCTTTTACACATGCAACTATGATTTGTTTTCTGTCATCCAAATGCTTGCTTTCATGACATTGCTTTCCCAGTTCATCCTAAATGGGTTGCTTTGTGGCTGTGCCTACTTCAAACATCAATTTAATGCACTTCCTCCAGAGAGTATTTGCCCCACCATCCAGTGATGCCCCTTTTCTAAATTCCCCTAATCATATATTGCCTAGTGATAATGATTTTTATTGCAGTTTTACTATTTAACTTCTATATTTTGATTTCAATCTTCAGGTGCTTATGTCTTGTGTAAGGGATATATTTCATGTACTTCCTCGGATTTCCTTGGCCTTATTTGCTTTCTGTACCCAAAATCACTTGCTCTGCATGGGGCTTACCAGTTGCATTTCTGGAGTCTCTGTCTTCTCCTGCCACTTAGGAACAATGCAGGAGCTAGCTTCTCAGTGCCTGCTGGGAGGGTCTGGATAATACATGCTGGAATTATGGGAAGGGTCACTCCCCATGGAGCAACTTGTGCCAATTGAAACCAGTAGACTGAGTGAGCACGATACTTAAATTCCCTTTTCTTCTTCCTTCCAAGGGTGGTTTCTCCAATGTGTCTGGAAATAGACAAGACTGAGCGAGGGTACCTGCTGAACAACTGATAGGTCTCTTGTGGCTCATTTTCAAGGAGAGGCCAGCAAGGTAACACATCACCATGTATTATTTCAAATCCTTCTCTACCTAACTTCCTTCCAGATTTCTTCACTCTGGCTGTCCTGAATTTGTACCTCCCACATAAAGCATTGGCACTTAATCCTTACCTTGAGGGCAGGATTCACACATTTTTAATGTTTCTGTTATCCACAGCACCTAGTACATGGCATTTAGTATTCAGTAAATATTATAAATAAATGATCAAGACGCAAGAATTCCCTTTCCAGTATAAATAACTATGGTACTTCATTAGAGAACAAATACACATCAACATATAATTTATAGTATCTCATGATGTATATTTTAGGTGTTTTTGTTTTAATTTATGAAAATAGAGACAAGGTCTCACTATTGTTACAGCTCTTTTACTCCCATAGTTCGATGAGTTCTGAGTTCTTGTCCCATGACTGAGAAGAATGAGGTACGTGGACACTGGAGAGTGAGTAAGGCAGAGTGGATTTTATTGAGTGACAGGAAGGCTCTTGACAGTGAGAGAGGATCTGAAGGTGGGTTGCTGGCCACGAGCCTGAGTCTATAGGTTTTTATGGGCTAGAAATGGGGAAGTGCATGCTGGTTGGTCTGTGGGTATGCTTGAAAAAGCACCATTCAGTAATAAGCACGATAGTGTAGAGGACCAATCGGGGAAGGGTAGTTATGTGTAAAATAGGTGAAGGATAAGGACCAATCAGGAGAGAGTGCCAAACAAGAATGGGAGCTCTCAGTTGGGTTCATGGATTTATCTGGAACTCATAGCTTGGTTTTTAGGCTTTAGACTGTCCTTGGCTTGAAGGTTGAGTTTCACAAGGGACCCATCCCTGTTTACCTAGGAATTTACCTGCCTCCTATTGCTATCACTATGTTGCCCAGGCTGGTCTCAAACTCCTGAGCTCAAGTGATCCTCCTACCTTGGCCTCCCAAGGTGCTTGGATTACAGGCTTGAGCCACCATGCCCAGCCTTGTTTATTTTTTAAATATGTAATATATTCACATGGTTCAAAATTGAAAATGTGCAAAATGGATTAACAGTGAAAAGACTTCCTCTTATCTTTGACCCCCTAGCCTCTTAGTTTTCTTTCCTGACAACTAATATTATCACTTTCTTGTCTATCTCTGCAGAAGAAGTTTATGGATATATAAACTCATATGCATTATACACACACACACACACACACACACATTTGGTTTTGCACCACTTAGCAATATATATTGGAAATAAATATTTGAAAAGAACACCGCATTTGGTGATAACTTCATATCATTACACAAAGAGCTTCTTCATTCTTTTATATGGCTACAAAGAAAGTATCTATTGTGTCAATTTGTCATAATTTATTTAACATCCTCTCTTTGCTATAAAAATAAGAATATAATAAATTGTGTATATTTTTGCCATTTGCAAGATAAATTACTAGAGGTGGAATTACTGGGTCATAGGATGATAGGTTAGTTTTTGACGGATGGTATCAACTCTTTGAGGGATGACTTTTGCTCTTCAGGGGTCTTAACTGCTTTCCCCTTCTCAATTACCTGCACAGCCCTCAGCAAACTGTCCTGCAGAGCCTGGTTCTTTACCATGTTGGTAATGAGAAACGTGATGTCTCTGATA